ACTATACTATACTATACTATACTATACTATACTATACTATACTATACTATACTATACTATACTATACTATACTGTCATGATGCCTGTTGCCAATCTCTGTCCTGCCTCTATCTGCCTCTCTTCTGATTCACTGCCGATTAGTGGGGTACTGATTTTATGCATGCACCCAAAATGCTTGGATTAATCACTCAATTGTCGTCCCTTATTTTATGCATCTCACAAGCTGGCAGAGAAACACACTTGCAAAGCAGGGGGCTATAACAAGAAAGGGATGTGTCTGGTTATCATGTCTTGGGTGACTTCCTGTGCTCCTTTTCCTATACCTCGTGCTGTCATTGATTTTTTTTTTTAATTGCTCCCTCTATTACTTCAAATTGAGTTTTTTTTTTCCTTAGGGCTCCTGCCCTCTTTTTAGTTATATAAATAACAAATGCTGACTTCTAGCTTTCTCTGTACTCTTTTCTGCAAGCAATGGAAGGTGAAAGCGGGGTTGACCCTATCATTCCATTGTTTCACTGTTGAACAGGTACGCTCTTCCTGTACTGCTGATTAAGCAACCTTGTGTTACTGAACAATTTTGACAGATTACTACGACAGCACTGCTATATTTGGCATCTTAGAGAAACCACAGTGAAATGGTGGCCAATGAGCCAAATCAAGGCCCACTGAGGAGAGGACTGTACCCAGATGAAGGGAAACTGGTCACATTTGGCTTCCACCTACTAGCAATCACCTGATTATATTTACAAATTAATGAGACTCCATAACAAGGTTAAAACACTGAGGAAAATGATTGCTTTCACACCATGATAGGTTCCTCTGTTATGGGAACATGACTAAAAAAAAAAAACCAGATGAAAATGGGAAAAGTCCACTTCTTCGGCCACTGCAGCAATCTCCAGCCACGTTATAACTATTCAAGAGAGGGAACGATGGCAAAATCGCTGAGATGCTCTTCTTTCATCCTCACAATTTTGAAAAACCTATTAGCAGCAGGAGGAATGCCAGCTTTGGAGTCAGACATTTCCCTCTTACAACCACCACTAGAATTTTGTTTGATTGTGTTTGCAGAGAAGGAAACAAATGGATACCATATGAATTAAAATTACAGATGAAGCAGAGTATTAGCAATTATCTTTTATCTCCCTTTTGTGTGATGAGGTGGTAAGAGGATTATTACTTGTTACTTGAGGACTGGCAACAGCTTGGAAGATACAAGGGATGTCATTATTAGTCACCTAGAGGAAACCTGGTGGGCTCATAGCAAACCCTGCATGTTCTTAAGTGGTAGGTAGTCAGCATGAACTACTCCACCAATCTTTTTGTTTTATAACTGCTGATATCCCCCAATACATCCCTTGGTAAACAGGTTCTTTAAACATTTAGAAGAGTGTTTCTCAACCTTGGCAACTTGAAGATGTGTGGACTTCAACTCCTGGAATTCCCCAGCCAGCGTGCTAGTTGGGGAATTCTGAGAGTTAAAATCCATACATCTTCAAAGGTGAGAAACTCTGCCTTAGAAGATATACTTAAATATGCATCAAAAGGTTAGGATTACAATTGAGCCTAGAGTAGACAGTGATGATATAAAATACTTTAAAGCAGAGAGATGCTTCAGACATGATGTCCCTAGTCCAACAAAGATTTCAAAGTCAGAACAAACTCCATTTGTACTGACTATATTGTGAAGTTAGCAAAATAACATTCTTGTTTCAAAAGTTTTATTTCTTTTAAGGCAAACATTTCATCATTCCTCAATCAGTAANGACCGGCTGGCCCTCCAACCACTCTCTAGGCGTCTTTTCCAGCATTTCATCTCCCGGAGCTCCTCAGTAAACCAGGGAGCTACCCGGGATCGACACCGGGTCAGAGGCCGCAAAGGCACAACGCAATACAAGGCCCCAGTGGCCGCCCTATCCCAGACTTCCACTAGGGCTTCAGTCAAGCTGTGAGCAAGTGATTCAGGAAAGTCCCAAGCTACATCAGGAACCTTTCAGGGTCCATCAGGCACCTGGGGCGGAACCATCTAACATGACTAAATAAATAAATAAAATACATACATGCATAGATACATACATAAATACATACACACATACATAATTATGCATATACCCACACACCCATATATATTACATGGCACAGAGAAACAACACAATCTAGTTCGGATGTATACTTGTACATGGCGAGAAAAATGAATCTTATGAGTTTTCCAGACGGATGGCATATGGAACAAAGCTGTTATAGAAGCTGGTATTCCTGTTAGAAATACTTCGAAAACTTCTCTCAGGGGGAGCAACAGAAACAGACTTTAAAGTGGTTGTGTGGGGTCTCTAACAATCCTTTGAGCTCTACGCACATAGCGCTTATAGGCAGTATCCTGAATAACAGGAAGCGAGCTTCCTATAATCATCTCAGCTGTCCTTACCACTCTCTGTATGGACCTTCTATCTGAGACACTGATGCCACCACAGCCAATCAGTGATGCAGTTTGCTAAAATGATAATTGTTCAGCAGATGAGGCCCTGGTTGAATGGTGTTCTTTCTTCTCCTGTTAGGTGGAAGTCACCAACTGTTTCAGGATCTCTGCATATTCTCAGCATTTTAAAGTCAGTCAAAGTAGGTAGGATCATAAGCTGATTTTGAGGTATTATGTAGGCATTTGTGAACGAGAATGGTGTGGTTTGGTAATAATCTCACTTTTACTGATAACATTCATAGAGTAGAAATCCTTTAAATTTGATGTAGAACAGTGAATAAATATTCCTGGCATCTTGTTCTCTGTGCTTTGAGATTTGCAGATCGAAAAACAATTATTAATGATCTTCAAACTATTTTTAAAGAATTGGGAAGTAGAACCAATTATATAGAAACACTGTGACATATGTTATTAAACCACGGCTGTGGAAGTATTGAATTGTTCTGATTTCTTTATCTATACAGGGAATCTTAAGATTGAAGGCTGGAAGATATAAAGTCCAAAAATATACAAGTGAGATTTGAAAGAAAGTCTTATCTTTCATATGGATGGTTTTGTCTAAACTGTGCTTATTACAGTGGAAATTATGAAACTAAGCAAAAAAAAAAAAANAGGGGAAGTAGAGTAGAAAAGGATGATGGAGGGAAGATAGAAAGTTGGAGGGTGGTAGAAGAAAAAGGTGTATGGAGAGCAGAAGAGCTATAATGGGTTTCTATTTTTCTGGGCATTGTTGACAAGAGGAACTGATGTAATTATTATTTAATACTATATGATACGGGCTATGTATAGTATACACGTGAGTGTGTGTTGTGAAAATGAAAATGGAAATAAAAATATAATTTTTTTTAAAAAATGTTGCATAAATTGTTTAAAATGTGACAGGTCTATATGTATACAAAAATATTGTGCAAATATAATGAAGAAATAAACTAACACCTTTATTGCAAGAAAAGTAACACAAGAAACTTATTTGAACACAGAAAATCCTTAAGTTTTCCTACATAAAACACTGTAACAGGATCTCTACCACACTGCCATCCAGATTGACTACAATACCTCTTATTTAGGGCGAAAACCCCAAGATAAATATAAGGTATTAAAAGATGCAAAACAAAGAAGAGGGCTTGGGCTTACCAGATATGAAACTATATTTTGCTGCCCACTGTTAGGTTTGGATGAAAGAGTGGGTACTGTATTGCAAGAGATAGGCAGCTATTGGACCGTGAAGTCACAATTTTGAGATTTAGGTGGCATGGCGAGCTATGGTTTCATAAAATTAATATAAATGCAGACTTTAAAAATCAATATGTCAGGCTGGCTATTCTTAGAATATGGAATAAATATTAACTCAGATTCTTCTGAAATAATAATAAATAAAAGTAAGTAGCTAAGATATCATGATGTATTAGAATTTTCCCAAGGGGATTGCAAAATGAATTCAAGAGATTTGATAACAGGATACTCGTCAATGGTTTTCATGTACAATTAACAAAAAGTTTAAAGTGGATAAAACATTTTATGGTTTGGAACAAAAGTGAGACCGAGTTTGAAATAGAATTGTATAATAATGATGAATATTATTGCTAAAATGTATAAACCTTTGTTGAAATATGAGATAGAACAAGGAAAAATGAATGATAAAATTGGCTAAAAATTTGGCTATTTGGCTAAATTTTTCATTTGGAATGGACCAATGGAAAAACATAAGGTTGAAAGGACTGAAACTTACATCAGGTTTTAAGGTTTTAACCTTAAAGAGCATTTTAATAAAATAAATAGTATTTCTCACCAGAGAAATTGTTTAGAATGTATAAAGGCATTTTGAATCTTTGCTAGAAATGTAAAAAGGACATTTTATCATGCTTGACAGACGTGTAAAAAAATGAACAAAAATGATACAAATATATTAATTCAGATGAACTTAAAAATTAAAGTACAATTGAAACCAGAAACCTTTCTTTGTGGGCTAGTAGACAAGGAACTAAAAAAGTAATAGAATCTTGTTTTTAAATATGGCAATTGTAGCAAGACTATTTTATGTTCAAAATGGAAAGGTTTAACACTACCCACAAGGGAGGAATGGTTGGTGAAAATGATGGAACTTGTGTAGATAGATAAATTCACTTTGATTAGAGGGGAAAAACATTTATGGCTGATTGGAGCCCATATAGACCTTTTTCATAAAACGGAAAAAAATAACATGTGGTTTTGATGATTAGGAAAAAATTAGCTTTTCTTATAATTCTAGACTAAGAGATAACTTTGTAATCAGACCTGCATTCGATGCAAAGGAAATTAGAAACTTCTATTTTTTTATTTGTTAATTCTTTCTTTCTTTTTCTTTATTTTGTATTCTGTATTAGTTTGAGGTAATTTTCAGGTTCTCTTTTAATAAAATGTATATAAAAATATCTCTTATGTACGGAAAGTATCTGTTGTCTTGGTGAACAGCATTCAAGATCAGGAAATGTAAATTATTTAAATTATTCTAAATTAATTTCCTCAAGACTTTGGGTATAATTTGAACCTCAGGAGACTTTTATTTAATTAAGGTACATGGATGTTTTCTAACCATTTACGTCTATGCCCTGAGCTCCAAGTCTACATCTGTTTGTTGTGTGTTTGCTTGTGTGTGTCTATTCTATTAATTATTTGAAGTAATCCCACTGTTTTTTTATTTCTTTTCCTAAGTAGCACACCTATTCTCTCCTGGATCCTCTTGCGCCAAGCATGGTCAAAGAACGCCATTGTTAACATTTGTAAACAAGTCTCAACTAAACTGGGCCTTACCTTTCCTACCACTGTTTTGAATAATCCATTTCTCTTTGGTAATATTTCTACCTGTTTAAAAAGAGTCTTTTTTTATTAATGAACCCTTGGAAATACACCTGTTTTTTCCCTTTCCACCTGTACTAATTCTTGATATACTACAAGTATTTGAATCCTTAAAAGTGGGGTTTTTTCCTATTTAATTTGGAACCACAGATGCTTTTTAGCTATTTTTCCCCGAACTTCTAAAAATCAGTTTTCCAACTACCCAATGAATTTATCCACCATTAATATTACAAATCCCCAAACTCCCTCTTTCCCTACATATTGCTTATAGCTCCACTTTATCAATCACTTTATCCTAGTTGGTCAGGATTAAGTTTTGGCAGAAAACTTAATTGTTTTCTCTAGCTGGGGGCTGAAGCTGTCAGCAAATTGACTCCAAAACATATTGGATATTTAAATCCTAACAAGAGTTCCTTCTAATAGTGTCAGTATAGTTTGAAGCCCCAGAACTATATGATTCTGTAAAAGTATTGCCTTCTGTTGCACAAAAATTGCTATTCTAACTCATCACTGTCAAAGTTACGCACATACAGTGCCAAAAGAAATATAATTAATGCAATTTCCCAATGACTTAAGCAAATGCAGGAAGCTGCTAATTTAATAATTTGACTAGAGGCAAAGGAGTCAGTCCTGTGACAACAGCTAGTTCTAGATTAATTCTTTTTATCTGGCATTGTTATCACTCAGGCCTGAAACATTATCATAATCAGCCTATGACTCACTAGAGTTTCTTGTATTGTATTCTCATCTTTCTCTGATTTGACTGGTTGACAACTTCTGATTTTGACCTAAATTCAGTCACTGTATCTGGTGTAACCTAGCCTATACTTTCTCCCTTAGGCTTTAAGTTATGGACAATGGGAGTGTAATTTTAAAATAGGGAAGCAGCAGGCGAAAGGTTTGATTTCACAGCATTGTGTTTGCAACTATTGTTCAGCCATTTTAGTGTCAAAACTGTGTTATCTGCAAGGACAGGATGGAAGGGGGCAGAAATCTTTCCAGCATCTTTAAAGCCACAGAAAACTGGGATTGCTTGACAAGTAATTCTCTTGTTCCTTTCTCCAGATTACCTTCTGGGTGAGCAGCAGGAAAAGAAGAGAAAGGAGACGGCAATCACAGCTCCAATATTATTTAGCCTGTCATGGCATGAAAAACAAAAATAGAGGAAGTATTTTCAGGCAAATAAGAGGAAAGGATCCAGAAAGGTGAATAGGTTTTCTTGTTCCTCTTGTCGGTAATTTTAGGGATGTCACAGCTTCATTAAGTCTGTCGTAAATTAAGTAAATGTCGACTCTTGCCCTTGGACTGGGTGACATGTCTAAGGAAGTGTATTTCCCACACCTGTGAAAAAGCAATGCTGAAGCTATTCTAGAGAGCTTTGATACAGAACCATGCAATAATGGCAGGAATCTGAAGGGAGAAAATACCATATTATGGTTTAGGACAGTGCTTCCCAATTGGCTGGCTGGGGAATTCTGGGAGTTGAAGTCCGGACATCTTCAAGTTGCCAAGATTGGGAAACACTGGTTTAGACAGTCTTTTCCCAACTGGGAACCTGGAAATTATCATTTGGAAACATCATGAGATTTGATTTCTGAGGAAGGCCACTCTAGATTCTAGAAATTACAGTAGTTCTTTTAATGCCATCCTAACCTAGGGATTGCTTGCCTGGCAATAAAATATAGCTTGAATTTCTCTGTCTTCCTCAGCCCAATGCATTTTGCAGAATCTTATAATTCTGTATCTAGAAAGAAAGGGAAGATGGTGGCATCTAACATGCACTAAAGGCCTATTACACAGATGAGGGGGAAAAACTTCATCTCTGTGGTGCCATAGCGTGTGATTAGATTTTATATATTAAAGGAAGGTCATTAGGAAGAGGTAATGATAAGTACATGTCTACTAACAGTTTAACTGCATTGTTTTTCTATACCTGCATATTACTGGAGAGTTTGGTCTATTGGTTAAAGGCACCAGGTTAGAAAGCAGGAGACCATGAGTTCAAGTCCTGCCCCAGCCATGAAAGCTTGCTTGGGTGATTTTGAGCTACTCTCTGACCCTCTCTCAGCCAAATCACCTCACGGGGTTGTTGTTATGGGAAAAATAGGAAAAGGAAGGGGTATTAAGTATGTTTGCCACCTGGAGTTATTTATAAAAATAAAAAAGTGAGAAATAAATATAGAAATAAAAATAAGGTGTGTGAATTCTCTCCCTCACTAGAGATTTTCAAGCAGAGACCATATATACCTACACCTATTAAAGTATACACTAATTCTAAATTTCCGGGCACCAAGTAGCTATTTGGATAAGCTTACAAGTCTTTTCCCAAATTCTATGATTCTGTATTTTGTAACCATAACACATCTTTAATACATATGCATGTTCACTGTTTTCTTGGGAGCCAAAGTGAAAAAGAATTGCATTTTTTAAAAATTATTCCTTCAACAACAGGCAGGCACGAATTGGCTATTTAGGTAAACATGATTCAAAGGTTGTATTCAGGTCTTTCTTTTATGTAATGTCTTACTGTAAAACCTTTCCCAGCAAATAGAAAAGTGAAAGAAAATATTTCACTTGCTAGGTGTCTGACTGTTTGAAGTAACAAGAGTTGAGAAGGCAAGTTAAAAAATAGGGCAATTCTTACGCTTAGAAATTAAAGGAGACAATGATAGCCTTTGTTGTGTTTTCAGTAAAAGTCCTCCTGCCTTTTTCAGAACAGCACACGAAGCTCCAAAAAATCCAGGATTTGCTTATGTTTATGAAATCTAGAAGTTTATTTTATCACTTTACACCCCAAGCCACTTTCTTTGGATTGATTTTTTTTTCTTTAACAGTAACCATAATGTTTGGTAGTAGGAAGATTCAATAAAAGCAAATGGCTTGAAGAGATTTAAAAGAGCAAAACAATATATTGTAACTTTATTATGTAGATAGAAGATATATAGATAACTTCCTTACAGAAAATGCTCAGTGACCAGATTATTTCAAACCGATTCCCATACCCCTAAGGACTGTTATCTATGGCTGTATACACATTCCTCAACTGGTATCATATCAAAACATTTTATTCTCTTTATTCACTGTATTCAGTTTCGTAAGAGTGGGATATGAGTCAAGGGGGAAAACCATGTCTTTGAAAGTATGTACCGTTAAGTAGAAAACTGGAGAACCAGTTTGCTGTAGTGGTTAAAGTGAGTTCTAGGCATGAAAGCCTCTCAGTTCAACCTGTCTCATAGGGTTGTTGTTGTGGAGAAAACAGGACACAGGAACATTAAGTACATATGTACGTACAAAAAACATACAAAAAAGGCAAAAAATTAACAAAAATTAATCAATACATAAAGTAGGGTTTTGTAGAGAGAGAACTCCAACACTTAAGTTATGCTTGCTCCTATAGAAGCTTATCCATTTATTATTTACAAGTAATCTTCAATTACTGACTGCTCATTCAGGGACCATTCAAAGTTAAAACCGTGACCCGACAAATGCGCGAACGTCAAAAGCGTGCCGACAAAACCGCGGCGCTAAAACCACGATGTCAAAAGCGTGCCGACATCAGCGCGCCGACAGAAGCACGCCGACAGAAGCGCGATTTAAGTTAAGGTAAGGTTTAGGGTTAGGGTTAGGTTTAGGGTTACAGCGCGCTTCTGTCGATGCGCTGTTGTCGGCAAGCTTTTGACATCGTGGTTTTAGCGCCGCGGTTTTGTCGGCACGCTTTTGACATCGTGGTTTTAGCGCCGCGGTTTTGTCGGCACGCTTTTGACGTTCGCGCATTTGTCGGGTCACGGTTTTAACTTTGAATGG